ACCCTGTCCTCAAAAAACAACCCAACAATAAAAGAAAAGAAAAAGAAAATTTAATATTTAGTGTAGCGTTTCACAGGCTTTCACTATGCAATTGTTACTCTTACTAAGGATCGCCTCGTGAGTATTCATTGACATTCTGCTTCCGCAGCTTCTAGCACATGCCACAGCACTCGCTGTTGCTTTCGCTCCTTGCCACTTCCAGAATTTTGCTTGTGTATTTTGTGAGATCGGGAGTCCACACACATGATCCCAGAGCCACCAGGGTCGTACTAAGGCGCACAAATTGACACGATCGGCAGCTCACTGGCCAGACCTCCGCCTCTGGGTTCATTGCGCAATTCTCCTGCCTCAGCCTCCTAGTAGCTGGGATTAATAGGGTGCACAACCGACCTTTTTAGACCAGTATCTCATTGGCTAATTTTCTTTGTACTTTATAGTAGAGACCACGTTCACTCATGTTGCCAGACCTGGACACACATACACACAATGACCTACCATCAAATGTATTGACACGCTGTACAGTAATCATAAAACACAGTCGAAAATCATTTGTAGGGTGAAACCAGAGATAGAAGAAAGCATTCCAGTGGTAATTACAATTGTGAGCATTATGGGTTCCGCCTCACGGCTCACCAAAGTGCTGGGGATTACCAGGCCCTGAGCTCTAGCGTGATGCGCAGCTCCCTCTTCTCTTCGCTCGCGGACTTGGTTTTGGAGATCCCTCTCATAATTTCATCTCTAACCCCTACATATGATGCTTCCAACACACAATATATACGCTTTATCAAACTTTTCTTGTGTTACCCGCATATTTGGTCTGTGCCTCACTGCTCTCAGCCTTCATACGAATTGAAGAGAATTAGGAGTCGTTGCCTCTGGAATTAGGGATTTGGACTTAAAGGGACTGTTATGGCTACTTTAATCTTCTACCCAGACACCATTAAAACTTCTTCTCCATATGACCAGCCAATAGCAAGCTGTTTCACTTTCTTATCATTCATCGTGTCCCACCCTGAGCACGCCACTTTGAATGTTCCCCATTTATGTTTTTCTTTTTTTTTGAGATAGAATCTTGCTCTATCATACAAGGAGTGCAGATACAGCACAATCAGTAGGCTCACTTGCAGGCCTCAAATACTCTGGGCTCCCAGTCCCTGAAAGTTAGGGGAACTACAGGTGCTGCCACTGCGCCTGGCTATTTTTTTTTTTTTTGGTAGAGATGGGGTCTTGCTAGTTACCAGGCTGGTCTCAAACTCATGGGCGTCAGGTAATCCTCCCATCGTCAACCCCAAAGTATTCGCAGTTACAGGTACAGAGCCCACTAAGAGCCACCAGGCCCAGCCAAGCACTTTTAATTTCCTTCAAGAACTTTACCTTTACATTCACAATTTGACTAAGTGTTTAGCACAAGAGACCTAGCTTTCAGCCTGTCTTGCATTTTGACATACCTTCCTCACTAAGCTCAATCATTTCTAGCTTTTGATGTAAAGTGAGACATGCGACTCTTCCTTTCTCTTGAACAATCAGAGGCCACTGTAGGGTTATGATTGGTGTAATTTGAGTATTTTTTTTGTCTTAGGAGATGGGGGGCCCGAACAGAGGGAGAAAGACTGGAAAACAGCCAGTTGGTGAAGCAGTCAGAACACACATAATACTTATCAATTAAGTCTGTTGTCTTATATGGGCCCAGTTTGTGGTGCCCTAAAATAATTACAATAGTAACATCAAAGATCACTGATCACAGATCACCATAACAGATATAACAATAATTTACAAAGCTTGAAATATTGCAAGAACTACCAAGTGTGATACAGAGGCATGAAGTGAGCACATGCTGTTAAAAAAAATGGCACCAACAGACTTGCTCAACACAGAGTTGCCATAAACTGTCAGCTTGTTAAAAAAAAAAAAAAAGTTATCTGAAAAGTGTAATAAAAGTGCAACAAAATGAGGTATGCCTGTACATACACACCTATGATCAAGTTTAATGTATAAAAATTAGGCACAGTAAGAGATTAACAATAATAACTAATAATAGAACAATTATAACAATGTGCTGGCATCACTACTCCTGCATTTTGGGGTCATTATTAAGTAAAATGACACAAACACTGCAATAGTTTTGACAGTCAATAATAGTTAATCTGATGACTTAGGCCATTACATGGGTGGGCAGCATATACTGTGTGGATCTACAGGACCAAGGGATGATTCACATCCTGGGCAGGACAGAGAAGGAAGGTGTAGGATTTCATCACGCTACCCAGAATGGCATACAACTTAAATCTTATGAATTATTTATTACTGAAATTTTCAATTTAATATTTTTCAGACCAAGAATAACTAAAACTGGAAAGTGAAACTGCAGATAAGGGGAGATTACTGTAAACCTCATAGGTTTTAATTTTGGTCATAATAATCACGAACATTAATCTTGTATACCATTTAATTAAAATGATAGCTTGTAGAGTTTTAAGTTGTGGTGACCAGTTTTCATCTATACTAAATAGACGTTTCTATGCTTTCTGCAGCAATTTTTATCAGTTAGTTATAGCTTTCCTGCTTATGTTTTCATTGTTATCTTCTCAGCTCTTCACTGGTACACCCTGCTACTGTACTTACCTTATTACATGTGTTACCTCCTTCTCATCCACTTCAGAACTAGAAAAATATCTATTAATGTAAAGTTATAAAAGTCTGGAGCCAGGGCCAGACTATCCAGAGATAATATGTAAGCTTTAGGGAGGCTGAGGTGAGCGGATTCCGCTTGAGGCCAGGATTCAAGACCAGCCTGGCTAAACATGGTGAAATCCCATCTGTACTAAAAATACAAAAATTGGCTGGGCATGGTGGCACACACTGTAATCCAGCTACTAGGGAGCTGAGGGCACGAAGAATCACTTGAACCCAGAAGGCGGAGGTTGGTAGTGAAGGCTTGAGATCATGCCCACTGCACTCCAGCCTGGGTGAAGAGCAAAAACTCTGTCTCGAGGAGAAAAAAAAAAAAAAAATATATATATATAATCATATATGTAATATATATATATATGTTGTATGTGTGTGTGTTATATAGTATATAAGTTTAACTATACAAGTATTTCTTTCGGGTCTTAGTCTATTCCACATAGCTTGGAACTTGCCATATTCATTAATTTACAGATATATGTAGGTTGGTGCAGAAGAGAAATTGTGGTTTTGGCCATTATTTTCAAAAATAAATAATAATTGTTAATTAAAGGTACCAAGCCAACTACAATTATATACTACATTGAATCTCATTTTAATTAAAATATTTTTACAATATATTCTCTTTGTTACTAATTGGATATTGCAACAGTTTTAAACTTATATTGTGTATAAAACCTTAAAATATCGTACGATAAATGTAACATAGAAATTTACTAGCAACACCCACACGGAAACATGCATAAAGTACCGTATTGACATCTTTTCGTACTTAACAATGTTGTTATAGGCTGTGTTATGGGGCCCATATTAAAACACATCATTTCACAATTAACCATTTAAAAATTCTACATTCAGATTATACATAGATGTAAAGATACTAAGCTTTAGGGGAGTTTGCATAGCCATGCTTAGGGAATTATAAAGGAGACCGGCTTCTCCATTGGACAGGGTCATATCCAAGCTTTCTTCAAAGATGTTATATGTTTCTTTGGGTTTCTTACAAATAGGAAATAAGATCTTTAAATTAAAATCTCTATATATCAAAAAAGTTTCTTTCTCTCAAAAATTACATATCTAAGATGTTAAAGAACAGAATCCTTTCAACTTGCATTTCTGTTGGAATTTTATCTCAAATATTTTGTAAATAGTCTCACTTCATACTGAAAAACATAATACAAATAATCTCCTTATAGACTAGCATACATATTTTAAAATAATATTAACCTAGAGTGCATTTTTTTACTCTTAATATTTCCACATTTCATCATTTTTAAGATGAATACATTTTCACATTTTAACATCTCTGAAATCAGCATGTGTTTAATAATCACTGGTAGCCAGCAGCACTTGTAACATAGTCTTTGCCTGCTCATATATGAACCTACAAATAGGTCTTCACATATTGTTGCTTCAATTACATTATGTACATTGTCCTCTTCATGGTGAGTTTAACTGCCATTTAAAATGTTTTTAAGGCCGGGCGCAGTGGCTCACGCCTGTAACCCCAGCACTTTGGGAGGCCATGGCATGCAGATAACCTGAGGTCAGGAGTTCAAGACGCACCTGGCCAACATGGTGTAAACCCCATCTGTAGTAAAAATGCAAAAATTAGCTGGGTATGGTGGCACACACCTGTAATCCCAGCCACTAGGGAGGCTGAGGCACAAGAATCGCTTGAACCCAGAAGGTGGAGGTTGCAGTGAGCTGAGATCACACCACTGCACTCCAGCCTGGGCAACAACAGCAAAACTCCATCTCAAAAAACAAACAATAAAATGTTTTTAGAAAGGTTGTTAATACAAAAGGCTATATTTTTATGTAGAAAGGTGTGGAACATAGCAGTGAGGCATAAATTTATTATTAATGAAGCAAATATTGATGGAAGAATGCATGTAATCCCGTATTTTTCTTGAGGGAAGAAATCAAGAGCTTTACAAGACCTAAGAAAGGAATAGTCCCACAAATAGACAAAGCTGTGTTATCTTCTCTTACCAAATAGCATCTGAAAAGATTGTCTATCTTATGCCAAGCAATTCAAATGAAGGGGGGGAGAAGTTGCCAAATCCTTTTTTTTCTTTTTAATATAAAAATTTTTTATAGACAAGATCTGGCACTGTTGCCCAGGCTGGAGTGCAATGGGGCAATCTCGGCTCACTGCAACCTCTACCTCCCAGGCTCGAACCATCCTCCCACCTCAACCTCCCAAGTAGTTGGGACTATAGGTGCCCAGCACCACACTCAGCTAAATTTTTTTTTATATTTTTGGTAGAGACAGGGTTTCGCCATGTTGTCCGGGCTAGTCTTGAATTCCTGGATTCAAGCAATCCTCCGGTCTCAGCCTCTCAAAGTGCTGGAAGTACAGGTGTAAGCCGCCACGCCCAGCCCCCAAAGTGACAGATATGTCAAATTACCAAGAAGCTAGTATAGCCAACTCATATATCATTTGATATTGTGTCAAAGTTTAACTACTACGACTTTTCCTTCTTAATGGCTTATAAAAGTATACTGTAATTGATGGAATCTGAGTTTCAATGAAATATAGTATTCCGTAAACATTTTCCATTTCAGCACTGTCTTCGTATCAAATCATTAAATTGATTTTGTCATAAAATATAATCCATCAAAGTATACTTTTAAACGTTTAATTTTTAATCTGTCACTATTACACATAATGTTACAAAGAGTATTTTTGTAGAGTGATCATTCTCCTTCCATAACATTTCCTAAATATAATTTCAGGAACAATTTTTATGCTGTTCTAAAAAATGCTGAACTAATTTATAAGACTATCAGCACTATAAATAACAGTTTCTCTGTGGTTCCACAAGCAACATATTGCTTTTGAAACTTAATTTTGCTCATTTAAAATATATTAAAAAATAAAATATTATGGAATTGGGTGGAGTTTTTTTGGATTACTAGTTTCCCTTATTTAATTTCTGGGGTTTTTTTCTGTGTGAATCATGTCTTGTCTATTCATCAACTTGGGAGCTCCCTTGAGTTTTTATTCATCTGAGTAAGTTTTAAAATATTAACTATTTGTAATATTTAATATTTACTGCAAGTATTTTAGATTCATAAATTTTAGAGATGAAAAGTACCTCACTAAGCAGACCAAATCCCTCACTTCATAAGTGAGAAAATTAATCTAAATCTAAACAAGTGAAATGACTTGCCCAAAGACATATGCCTACTTAACTGCAGGACCAGCAGCACCCAAACCTAGATCTCCTGGCTCTCTATCCACTTCTCTTCCTACCCTACAAAATTATTTTTAATCTCCCACTGTGTTATGGGTATAGGAAAAAAGCATACCACAATAGTGTCAGTGTGGTTTACAGCAGTGGTCTGATTGGAGGAAAAAAGGTGGCTTCAAGAGGCCTGTCAGAATCTCCAGAGTATTTTTCATCTTTACGTATATGACTTTACTAACATCCATAGAAAACTGCTGGGGCTGAACACAGTGGCTCACGCTTGTAATCCCAGCACTTTGGGAGGCTGAGGTGGGTGGATCACCTGAGGTCAGGAGTTTATCAGCCTGGCCAGCATGGTGAAATTCTGTCTCTACTAAAAATAAAAAAATCAGCCAGGCCTGGCAGTGCACACCTGTAATCCCAGCTACTCGGGAGCAGGAGGCAGGAGGATCACTTGAATCCGGGAGGCGGAGGTTGCAGTGAGCCAAGATAGCGCCACTGCACTCCAGCCTGGCAACAGAGTGAGAGACTCCTTCTAAGAAAGACAGAAAGACAGACGAAAGACAGACAGAAAGAAAGAAAGACAGAAAGACAAGAAAGACAAAGAAAGAAAGACAGAAAGAAAGAAAGAAAACTGCTGGTAATTTGGGGTGGGTAAAGTGAGAGGAAAGTATTGACCCTATAGCCCTACCTTGGAGGAACCATCTTCTTCCACTACATAATAATCCTGCTTAGTTCATATGGTGCTGACCCTACTTCTATCCTTCTCTGGGCATTGGCAGGCAATTGAAGCATACAAACAAAATACTTCATTCACTGGCCACTTTGTTCATGGATGGGCAAATCATAAGTAAGGCCAATCAGAGTTCTCCCAAGACGTGTGCTGAAGCTATAGGCTACGGGTATAATGTAGACTGGGACAATTAAGAGACATCTTTTCAACTTCCAGAAAATCCATCCGAGAATGAAGCCTGACAAAGCCAGGACCCCAACATACACAGCAGCTATATATGGAATTGGCCCACCTTTGAATATAGCCAAAAATGTTCCTTCTGCACCTAAGCTAGCGTGACATTCTTTTGGTTACTCACAACTGAGTTTCTTGGATCACTCCAAGCCAATGTACATTTCACTCCTCGCCAATGTACATTTCACTCCTCACTGCATTTAATGAAAAACTACTAATGAAGAAAGTATGTCATTTCCCTTATGTGTGTCGGCAAGGATAAAGGTTGAGAACCAGATTTAAGGGATAGCGTGTTTCACAGAAAATAAAATAGAATCAGTGATGCAAATTTGTAACAGCATATATACCAAAGCAAATTTAAAAATGCCATTACTACGTTTTGCAACTAAAATTCAGTTAGGTATGTCATGGAAGCAGAAAAATTGATTCATTAGCAATAGCTACAGTTTAATTTTTATACTTTTTCCCTTTTAAATTAGATGCTTAACTTTTTAAGAATTTAAGATTAACTGGATTTTATAAATAATTACAATAACTGTATTTTAATATTTTCAGGATAAGGCCGGGCGCGGTGGCTCAAGCCTGTAATCCTAGTGCTTTGAGAGGCCGAGGCGGGCTGATCACAAGGTCAAGAGTTCAAGACCATCCTGGCCAACATAGTGAAACCCTATATCTATTAAAATACAAAAAATTAGCAGGGTGTGGTGGTGGGCACCTGTAGTTCCAGCTACTCAGGAGGCTGAGGCAGGGAATCCCTTAAACCCGTGAGGCGGACTTTGCAGTGACCCGAAATCACGCTACTGCACTCCAGCCTGGTGACAGAGCAAGACTCCGTCTCCAAAAAAAAAAAAAAAAAAAGAAAGAAAAAAAAAATTTCAGGATAAGCACATATAGATTTTAAATAAAAACATTTATATTCAATGTAATTATTATTTGCCACTATGAAGAACTCAATTTAGAATAGTTAACATTGTATCCTAAGAATATAATGGTGGGGGAAATGTTATTAAATTGTTTCCCCTAGAGAAGACAGAGGAACCCTTCACGTTACTTATTAAGCAGACATACAAACAGGGCTACGAGGTTGGGTAAATAAAGCAAAGTCCTTGAGTCATGTAAAGGTAATTTTATGCATACCTGAGAGTTCAGTCAATTTTTCAGCTCTTTTACTCTTAGTCACAATTATTCCAATCTTGAAATAAAAACAAAAATTATTATTAATCTAACAAGTTATTTCTTCCCATTAAGAATATATATAACTATTCCTGTAGATCATATTGGGGCAGAAAAAAAATAATTTACATAGCTAAAATAAACTAGTAATTACAAAAGAAAGAAGCAACAGGTGAGAAACTTTTTCTCATGGTGTTTTTGGCAAATAAATTTAGCTATGAGTTCACCATACATTGTTTAACTTTTAGAGTTATTATGCTTTTCATTTTTAAGTATAACGGAAACTGGTTAAACAATTTGGGTAATTCACAAAATACATGTCCAATTTTTAAAAATAAATTACATTTGGAAGCAAAACATGAATCTAATTCTGAATTCTATCATTTATATACGTACCTGACTAATAGGATTTTGATCAAAATATTCCTCTACAAAGTATTCCAACAACTGTTTAAATAAAAAAAGACATACGAGATAAAGGCAAAATAACAATCATAAAGAACATGTCCAAGTGATGTTTCAAGCATCACTTCTTATGACTTTTAAACTTACAGATTTTCAAAAAATTTTAAGTAATAAAAATATTAAACAGTAAAAACCTTAATTTGAAATGGTGCGTAATGAGATAGGTTTGAGCTAGGTTTTAAAAGATGGAACCATTTGGATGTGTCAGAAAAAATTTCAACGAGGAAAAGATCCAATGAAGAGAGATGGGAGAATGAGCAGAATTGAGAATAGGTTTTGATAAATTAGGAATAATATGAACATATTTGTAATCTGAGGAGACAGATTTAAGTAAGGCAAAGGAGAATGAAGATTCAATAAAGAAAAGGGATAACTGACAAACCAAGATCCTGACGTGGGGTGGGAGGATAGAAATTAAAAACACAAATAATTAGCTATGTTGGTTTAAAATTTCCCTAAATGACCTGGCAGTACTTCTACTTAGCTATCATTAGTACTAACTAAAAATACAAGGCAAAAAATAAAAAATATTGCATTCTTTAAAAATATCCTTTAGAATCCAGTGTTCTTCCCCACTTTCTTAGTAGAAGTTTAAGTGATTTTAGTATAAATTTAAATGATTTAGTATAAATTTAAATTTTACCTTTAAAGTACACGTCAGTCTATTAGGCTTTAAATCTTGGTCTTCCATTGTTCTTGATCCATCTACTACCACATAAAGGTGGCGCATCTACCAGAAAAAAGAAAGGGCCAATTTCAAGTACTTGTTTTGTTTTGTAGAAACTGGGTCTCACTCTGTTGCCCATGTTGGTCTCAAACTCCTGGGCTCAAGCAATCCTCCTGCCTTGGCCTCCCAAAGTGCTGGGATTATAGGCATGAGCCACTGTGCCCAGCCTCAAGTGCCATTTTGATTAGTAAAAATAGCATTTAATAATTTCATATTCTATGCACATATTTTTAATGTATTCTTTTAAAAACTTTGTTATTTCGCTATTGTTTTTTCTAGCAAGTCAGAATATTTCTCTAACCTAAACTAGTTCTGTACTAGTAAAAAATAATGACATACCATTCCAAGTCGAACTTGTCCATGGTGCTCAAATACTCTGTTAAAATTATA